CCTCTTGTCTCTGACCTCTCCCCTCTTGTCTCTGTTCTCTGACCTCTTGTCTCTGTTCTCTGACCTCTGACCCCTTGTCTCTGGTCTCTTCTCGTATCTGGTCTTTGATCTCTCACCTCTGGTCTCTGGTCTGTTTCACAAGGACCTGGTCTGACCTCTGGTCTCTCACCCCTAATCGCTGACCTCTGGTCTGTTTCAGGAGGACCTGGTCTGACCTTTGATGTCTGACCTCTGACCTGTGATCTCTGACCTCTGGTCTCTGTGTTTCAGGAGAAGACGTCGTACGTCTGGAAGTTGCGTCTCTTCCTCTTCAACATCAGTTGCTGCGCCGTCGCTGCCTACTTCTTCAGACGTCACAACAAGTTCTGCGAGGCGGGAGGTGAGTCTCTGAGCCGTCCTCGTGCCTCCGCCCGTCTTCATACGTTGACTGTCCGTCTCCGTCCTCCAGTGTACACGGTGTTCGCCGCCTTCGAGTACCTGGTGGTCTTCTCCAACATGGCCTTCCACATGACGGCCTTCTGGGACTTCGGCAACACAGAGGTGATGGTGTCTACGCTGCCCGAGGACAAGTGGTATTGAGCCCGGACCAGACCGGGCCAGATGCCCACAGAACCAGACTGGGACCAAATGGACTGGTCAATTTTTTAAACACGTTTTATATAGAACTATTTGAACCGGGTCCAGAACCAGTTCTGCTGCAAACGTACATGCAACAAGAAGACAAATGAAAATAAAAATGTTTCACTAAATCATTTTAAATAAACACTTTCATTAATTTACTGAATAAGTTTATTAATTTTATATTTTAATGTTTTACTTTAGACATTCTTTTTCCAGAGTGGAACTGTTCCAGTTCACACAGGGTGAGAACTATACATACAGGGTCAGAACTATACATACAGGGTCAGAACTATACATACAGGGTCAGAACTATACATACAGGGTCAGAACTATACATACAGGGTCTGTTTAGTTTAGTTTACACTATAAAAATACAGATCCAAGATATTAAAAAATACTAGCAGTGCAGGAAGAGGCAGAAGCCCAGTGGACTTGTATAAAGCCTCCACCCAAATTCTTTAGTGAACCGTTTTACAGAAGACAACGAAGTCCATGCTGTGTGTTGTACAGAAAGCCTGTTTGTTACCAAATATGAAAAATCCTTCCAAACTGTAGCTCCCCTGTAACGGAGACAAAACGGACTTTGCTGCTCTGATGTTTAGGAAGATGAAGCGCTGGACTCTGGTGAGTTAAGTAAGAATGAAACCATATTTGATTTAAAGTAAAGGGTGAAATGCTTTGGTATATCCTCTTGACTTACATAAATCTTATGAACAAAAATACAAATTTGAAAAATGTTAATGTTATAAATAGTAAGAATTCGTAAATTCCTAAACAGAGGAGCAGAAGGACGATGATAATCTGATCGAGTTGTAATTCCTGAACAACACCCTCAGCTGGAGCAACAACACCACCAGCCTGATGAAGAAAGCTCATCAGAGACTCTACTTCCTCAGGCGGCTGAGGCGAGCTGGTCTGGAAGCTCAGTCCTCACCTCCTTCTACAGGTGTGCAGTGGAGAGCATCCTGTGCTCCAGCATCAACGTGTGGCATGGAGGCTGCACAGCTGCAGAAAGAAAAGCTTTGCAGAGAGTGGTGAAGGCTGCACAGAAGATGTTGGAGTCAGTCTCCCCACCATCACAGACATCTACACCTCCAGATGCAGGAAGAGGGCCACCTGCATCATGAAGGACCTCACTCACCCAGCACACACACTTTTTGCCCCACTCCCCTCAGGAAGGAGGTTAAGGAGCATTAAGTGTAGAACCACTAGACTGAGGAACAGCTTCTACCCTGAGGCTGTTAGACTCATGAATCTCTAACCAGAATAATCACTGTGTAAGATTACATCATGTTGCTGCTGATCTGTTTCATGTTGCTGCTGATCTGTTTCATGTTGCTGCTGATCTGTTTCATGCTGCTGCTGATCTGTTTCAATGCTGCTGCTGATCTGTTTCATGTTGATGTGGTCATGCGTGCACATCTGCTCACACAGACTCATGTTCGTGCTGCTGTTCAGTGTATTATTTTTATGCTATTAGTCCTTAGTGTATATTTAGTTGATGTTTTTCTTAGTTCATATCTTTGATCTTATTACGGTTTTATTTTTCATTTTATTGTTGGATGTAACTGGGACCTGTGGACATAATTTCCTTCCACCACATGTACCACATGTGTGAATGACAAATAAAGAAACTTGAATCACTGGTACATTTTCATCTTTAAATCACTTCCTGGTCTGCTGCCTTCATACATCTCCTCCTACATGTCTCTGTGTGAGTGCAGCTACAGCGTGCGCTCTCAGGACATTATTACCTGCAGTGTTCCCTCAGTGAGGACTGAACTAAACAAAAGGACCTTCTCCTACTCCGCTGCGTAACACCTTGCAAAAAGACCTGTAATCTATGAAGTTTGAGTGTGACTCATATCTCTTAACAAGATTAATCATTGTAATGTCACATTAATTGGTGATGAAACTTGTCCTTGCTGCTGATCTCATGCTTGCTGCTGATCTCATGCTGCTGTATTCATTCATACCCATCTGCTGACCACAGACATGTTCGGGCTGCTGTTGTGAAGCCGTATTGTTTTACATTATTAGTGTTTAGTGTATATCTTGGATTGAGAGAGGATCTTTTCTAAGATATCGTCATGTTTATGTGTTGAATTTGCAACGTGAGCGATTGTCGTTGCTCATTAACGGTCACAGCCTGGGTTTGGTCAGGCTGCTGTATTCTATAACGATTAACAAAGTACCCAGAATAGTCATGAGAGCAACCACAGACCAGGAACAGTTTAACTGTTTCTTTACAACGTGATCATGGTGGAGGAAAACCCTATAGTGTACAGACCCACTCAGAACCAGAATTTAAACTGTGTTCATAAACATCCAGTTTGATACTGCAGGCGAACTAAAACAACAGGAGCTTCATCAGCTTTTGTTTGATTTCACTCAAAAAACTGCAGCAACAAATACAAACTGAGTGTGTAAAGTTGGATCAAACTTGTTTAAAAGTGAGGTGCAGACATCCTCCCAGCAGGGGGCGCAGCTGCACGGAAACACTGCCCACTTCTCTGCACCTGCTGTTCACTCGGGCTTCTTCACCTGGTTTACATTTAAATATTCCCAATGTCCTAGATCTGCTCTGTACCTCTGAGGAGTTATCAATTCAGTTCAATTCAGTTCAATTCAGTTCAATTCAGTTTGTTTCTAAAGCTTCAAGTCACAACAGAAGTCGTCTCAGGGACTGAACAGAAACATCCATCCATTATCTTTACCCATCCATCCATCCATCCATCCATCCATCATCTTGACCCGTTTATTCCATTTTGGGTCACGGGGGTCGCCGGTGCCCATGTCCAGCAATCACTGTGCGAGGGGCGGGGGACACCCTGGACAGGTCTCCAGTCCATCACAGGGACACATAGAGACAAACGAGACAAACAACCATTCACTCTCTCACTCACACCTAGGGACAATTTAGAGTTACCAATCAGCCTAACATGCATGTTTTTGATCTGTGGGAGGAAACTGGAGCACCCGGAGAAAACCCACGCATGCACGGAGAGAACATGCAAACTCCACCCAGAAAGGCCCCTGGACCGGGATTTGAACCAGGGACCTGCTCGCTGAGAGGCAGCAGCTCTACCAGTTGCACCACCGTGCTTGAACAGAAACATTCATGTATAAAATAATAATTGAACAGAAACATT